AAGGATAATGGCTGGATATAGTTTCCATCCATACATGTTTATAGTAATTATTCTGACAGAAATACTCTCATCTTGGTCTAATTTTGTAAAACCATCACATTCACCGCCTTTTGTGACATGTAAGTTTATCCATCAAAATAATCGCCCTATTTAATCGATTGGCAGAAGAATGGTGGATTGTGGAGCGAGCCTAATGATTGTTGATGGGCTGATTTCATTACTGGGGCGATCCGTCTTGTCCGTGCTTTAAAGAGGCGTGATGAGGCCGGCAGTGGGGCGCTGGCACAGGCGGCTGTCAGCTGCTGGAGCAGGTATCTTGGCTTCGGACTCAACAACATGTGGCTGCTTTTATTCTCTTACAGCTGCTAACTGTGTGTGACCAGCTTTTCGCCTCTCACAAATGCTAAATAGTTTTTTTTGTTTCCCAAGCAGGTCAAATAGTACTGACAGTAGGTAGCAGGACAGAGATGTTACTATGATATTATCACAATACACAAGATATAGTATGTATTTCCATATGTTGTTTCAATTATTTTTTTTTTATTGCCATGCAGGACGACGGTTGTAGTTTAAGATTGTAATACACTGTTATACTTTGAACTTCTGTGTCAATTTCACTAAAAGTAATCTTCCAAAAGTTACAATATAACAATAAATTAGTCCAACCTTGTTTAAAGTGATCAAGTGTCCTGGGGCTTTGGGGGCATTCAAACCACTTTTCAGCCTCATATCACTAGAAATCAACCCATTTATCGGTTTGCTGATTACATTGACCATCTTAAGTCTCACAAGACGACAGTAATTGGCCAAGATTTGACAAATTTTTGCAGATTTGAAAAAGTAATTGAATGTTTCAGCCACCGACTAACATGACCTCATTTATCACTGTGTTATCACTGCTTTTTAGGCTAATCTTTGGCTAATATTCTTTGGTCTAACAGCAAAACCTAAAAATATATTTTGGATATTCAGTTGTTTTCTTTGGTTCACAAAAGGTTGGGGACAACGGGATGACTAATTTATATTGATGGCCTGAGAAAATCCAGCACAAAACACAAACTCATGTCCGTCTCTTTTGGCAGTGATTATAGCTCTGTTTGAGTAAGATCTCTTCACTACAAATTTCAATCTGCGACTGGTTCAAATGGTTCAGCTTTTTTTTCATTTGTGATTAATAGAGTTCACACTATGACAGTACACATAAAGCTGGGTAGTTAAATTCCTACAAACACACAAAAGAATCTGAACACATTGCCCTGAGAATAGGCCTGGACTAACACTGTAAGTACAAGGACGATGGTTGAGGCGGTTGATCCAAACAACCTCCATGACCTCATCCACCGTGAGCCAATCCAGACACAGAACACGACAATGAATTCACACTCTTTTAATAATAACACATCTCTGAACCCAAGTGTTACTTTATAATTCCCATTCACAGCTGCTCTACCATCCGGTACCCAGCCCCCCTCGCATCCGTACCTTGGCGGGCGCTTCATTTGCACACTGTCACCGCGCACGTGTTGTATTTACGGTCCGCTGGTGTGTACTTTGGCAGCCATCGACACTACACAGAGCCAGGAAGGAGCATCACTTGACATGGCAGCTGTTTAAGCCAAGCGCTCCTTGAGTTCGTCACCGCGCGATGCGACTGTCAAGCGTGTATTTATCCAACCTGCTTCAAATGTGCTAAACAGTCGTATTGTTTATCGCGCCAAAGTCAAACACGGATAATAAAGGCGTGTCTTTAATCAAGGCATGTTTGCGTGGAAGCGTTGTCATAAATATACGTGTAAAAAAAACTTGCATCGGGCTGACAGCTTGAATTACACCAGCGGTTGCCTTTGCGCACCTTGCGGCTTGAACTTAGCGGGGGCCCTAGCATTAGCGCTAACAGCCTCCTTCATCATTTTTATGCCTGTGTGTGAGAATGTATGTTTGCGCGAGACAAAGAAGGAAGGAGGTGCCTTGCTCTTTCACCTTCCTTCACGATGCCTCATAAAAGTCAACGGAAAATAGCCAACCCCCTCCCCAACCCGATAAAATCGCGAACGCGTTTCCTTTCAAGTTAAAACGCGCTGCTAACCTCCGCAAAAAAAAAACTTTTCTCTCCCCTTTTTTCTGCACGACTGTGAGCGTATTCCGCTTCCTTCTCCGTGGAAAATGATGGATGACAAGTTAAATTTGTGTCTGGGGAGTGAAGGTGAAGTGTGACAGAGTGATTTGTCTTGGGAATGGAGGGTTAGGGTCAGGCGAAACTGGGCGCCTCTAGGCACAAGACATTGACAAATTCATCCTGCCCGCCGCATTTCTGAAGCCTTTTGTTTTGAATCCTGGCTACTCACAAGTGACCCCCATCCCTCATCCTGCCAGCCGCTGAAGGATGCCTCGCCATGCCAGGGGAGCTCACCGCCACTAATTCTTGTCATTCACGACGGTGACGGGCCCCGGACATATATACCGCCTCTATACCGAAAAGCACAAACGTCTGGGAGTGCTTTATTCACCGCTCAAAAATGATGATGTTTTTTTTTTTTGTGTCTTGTCATTGCAGCTCTCTGTCCGGACTCAGAATGTTCCCGGAGCTGCAGGAGTTGATCGTGGACAATAATCAGCTCGGGAATGACCTGCGATTGCCAAAGTTGCCTCATCTGCACACTCTGACCATCAACAAGAACCAGATATCCTTTGAAGCACGGTTAAACCTCACACACTGACACATATTTGAAATCCAGTGCATAATCTGTGATAATGTTTTTGACAGATATTCATTTCTGTGTCGATTAGAACGGCTTGTTTATTTGGGGAAAGAAGAGAGGATTGAGTGAATAGAGCAGAAACTGTGGTGTCATTCAGTCTCAGTGCGAGAGTGAACCACAGGGACCTCTAGTGGAGCTCAGACTAAGAACCAGCCCTGAGTGGGAAAGGCAGACTGCATTTTAGGGAATATATGTCAATTTTTTTATTAAAATGTCGCAAAATTGATGGATTGATTTTCATCATTTGAGCTGAATCCATACATTCATAAGTATTTACAATATTTAAATTCCTTAATTTACATGACTTTTTGTACATACATTAGATACACATGCAAATAAATAAACATGAATATACAACAACGGCAAGGGCAACAGTATTTGCCCTTGTTTCACCATAAGTTGAATATTTACAATTTCAATATAGATATCTACAAGTGCTTGTCTATGTACAATTTGTCACCTCAAAATGCAAATAAAAAAATAATATATATTTGAAGGCAAAACTTTAACTTTCTTTCAGTTCTGAAATGTTTTGGTAATCGCCTCGATCAAGACCAAGTTTAATGTTCATTATGAGAAGCATTAAAATGACTACATTTTTGAAAATATTTTCTCTAAAATGTTTCCCAATTCTGAAACAAAATAATTGATCTTATTGAGCATGATTATGAGCAAGACTCAGTAGTTCACAAAGCTTCAAATATCTTTATACATAACTTTTTATCATTCATTTTTTGGACTATTTCTCATGTCAGTTGTTTATTTATTATTCAGACAGCGTTAGGACAAAGAAAATAAAGGCAACTTAATAAAAGGAAAATGAAGTACATAAAACAAACAACAAACTTTTTCTGTGTGATCTCGTCAGCCTAGAATGAGGCAACTAAGTCCGTCTGAAAAGGAGTTGGGGAAGTAAAAAGTTGTATAATCCCACCCCTTTCTTCTGTGCTTCAATCTAGTAACACAATAGACTTCCTCTTAACAATTCTTTTATCTCTGAATACAAGTTATACGACATTCTGTTACATACTGAGAGAACATTGTCTCTTTAAATGAATACTTGAACTGTTTTATATTCAATCCTAAATAGTTACATTAACAGATCCACCATGTTACATATAACATACACATGGATACAGTATATCCATAAATACACATAAACAGCATTCACCATTTGTCAATATTTTTACAAAAAGTATTTACAACTTTATTCAATGCATTAGATTTCTACTAACGGCTAGCCAGCGATGTAACTGTACCATACACACTTTACAGTATTCCCTTCAGACCCAAAACATGACTTACTTTTATCATCCCGCACCCACCAAATGTATAATTCATTAGAGAGCAGATATATTTATGACGAACGTGCCTGAAACTGTTGCTTAATTCGACTTGTCACTAAACACACACGCTCACTCATCACTTATAATGGCTCGGCTGTGTCCTACTTACCACCCTGAGCAAACACTTTTTCCCAGGCAAGGCTCCCAACATTTTTTATTTTTTTTTTATTTTTTTTACTCTTGCCAACCACAATCCTCGGCTGTTTATGATCCGCGCCAACGTGTGAACTTCCCCTCTTAGCTTCGGAACAGTCATATACTCTGCCCCGCTTTATCGCTAAAGTCGCTAACGACGCCGGCGCGTGTGGTTTTTTTTCCCCTATTTTTTTTTTTTTTTGGACGCACTTTTCCAGAATCAACACACCTAAAAAAGATAGACTCCTTGAAGCGTTCGGTTGTGAAGTGGTCGGCGCATGCTAATAGGCCAATTATGTACATCCTGTCGTGGCGCGCTGCCATTTTAAAGCTTCGGGCGCATTACAGCCGTTGTATTTTGACACTTTGGGGCTCAATTTTCCGAGCGAATGTATTAGTGATGAATGTGCTTGCTTTAGAGGCTGTTTGTTTTTTTGCCACTTTTCTCTCGTTTTTTTATTTTTTTATTTTTTTTTTTGCTAAAGTTTTATTTTTTTCTTCTCTCCCTCTTTCTACACACAGAGCTTTGGGAAGCACGGACCGTTTGAACCGCAGGGCATCCATCATTTTGTCACTGTTGTGCGCCACGGCCACCTAGGAAATGAAAGGGATGGAGAGGGAGCGAGAAAGCAAGAGCAGCACAGCCAAATGGTGTCACTCGTATATGCCAAATCCGCACCTTAAATTGCCCCTATGTCTGGCCAGTTTCACAAAGCCACTGACTCGGCCCTTTGAACGGGCCCCGGTAAATTTGACAGTGATGTGTTTCAGTGCTACAGAAAAGAAGGGGGGGAAATCCGGGAGGGAAGGTTTTCTTTTTTTTTGAATGGGGGTGGCAAATGCTAATGTAATTAACCGAGCCGGGTCCTTGACATGCGGCCTCTGACACCTGACTGATATAGAGGCGCTGCTGGAGCACTTGGCCGAGGTGACCCCCGCGCTGGAGTACCTCAGTCTGCTGGGCAACGAGGCCTGCCCCAACCAGCTGGTCAGCCCCGACAAGGACGAGGACGACTACCAGCGCTACAGGTCAAAAAGCTTTGAGAATATTTATGATTGAGATTAAAAGATGCTTTATCCGTCCCACAGTGGCGAAATGTCAGTGTTGTATCACAAGTTATAGAACAGTAGGAATGAGGAGGATACAGCTCAACATAAATGAATATTAACTATATACTAATATGAAATAAAATAAAATCTCTAACTCTGTAAGAAGTAGTATATAATATCTATCTTTTGCATAATAAGGAAGGAGGTCAAAAATCTCCAACTTTAGCATGATGAAGAAGCAAAAGTACAAAAACCTTAGGAGCAAGTACAAATACTGTATATTCTAGTGCAAGTGTATATATAGTTGTATACATCTGTACATGTTAGCAGGATGAGGGTATGAGATACAGTGACTAAGCAAAGCGACAGTAACACATGTGGTTCCAGACTGCTCATTCTGACATTAGTTCAGTTTATTGCACAGACGCACTGAGCACGACATATGAAGTCAGGTCGACAGTGTTTGTTTGTTCATTGTTTGTTGTACAGTCTGACAGTATTTGTTTACATTTTTGTGAAAATGTTAATATGTATACTTAAATGAGTAAATCAGTCGGCAAGCAGAGAGCCTGGAGCGAAGTTGAGTGTGACTGTCTCTTTTCTTTTAATTTCAGTTTCAATCCGAATCCTTCCCCAAATAAAAAAAATAATAATAAACTGTCAGCAGATATTGTACCGGCCGATACCTGCAACAGTGGCACAAACAAAGGCTCTCATATGTCATATTTTTCATTATTTGCGTATTGCATATTTCATTCAATTTAATTTGTTCTTGTATAGGACTAAATCACAACAGTAGTTATCTGAGAGGACTTCACAAAAAAACGTCGAATTCGCCAACACAGATCAGAGAATCAAGCAGTTCGAACACAAGAAATGTAATGATAAAAAACACATTGGTCCATAAGGGGCAGAGACCAATGTCCATAAATGTCCACAAATGTGTGTCCTGGATCATCACCGCTGTCCTTAGACCCTCCTGCATCAGCAAGGAAAAACAGATGGTTTTGGAGTGAAACAGTAACTTTTTAGACAGAAGGGCGAAGCTTGTGGTGAGGAACTGTGCTGTAACATGGTTCAATTCTCCAAAAAATGTTTGTATTTTGCATCAAATGTCTCCATTAAAGCTTGTTTGCTTTATCTGATATGAAGCTCTAATCCATAACAGCGGTGAGTTATTATAATGTAAGAGCAGGCCATTATGTTTGATAATCATTTATCAGTCAATATGTCAGTCGCCAATTTATTTGTGTATCACAGATTAAGACACACAAAATAAAACTATTGATCAAAGTAGGTAAAGTACCACTTGTGAAGGACCAGAGAGAGAGGCCCGAAAAAAGACTAAAGAGAGAGAAGCCAAAGAGAGAGAAGAGAGAGGCCAGAGAGAGAGAAGCTAGAGTGAGGGCAGAGAGAAACTAGAGAGAAACTATAGAAAGAGACTGAAGAGAAAAACCAGAGAGAGAAGACAAGAGAGGAGACTAGATAGAGAGACCAGAAAGAGAGACCAGAGAGAGACCAGAAAGAGAGGCCAGAGAGGCTAGAGAAGAGACCAGAGAGAGAGATCAGAGAGAGAGATCAGAGAGAGAGACCAGAGAGAGATCAGAGAGAGAGACCAGAGAGAGAGACCAGAGAGAGAGGCCAGAGAGAGAGAGTGAGAGAGCGACCAGAGAGAGAATATAGAGAGGAGACCAGAGAGAGAGAGACCAGAGAGAGAAACCAGAGAGAGAGGCCAGAGAGGAGACCAAAGATATCAGAGAGAGAGACCAGAGAGAGACAGAGAGGAGACTGGAGAGAGAGACCAGAGAGAGACTCCAGAGAGAGACCAGAGAGAGACTCCAGAGAGAGACCAAAGAGAGAGGCCTGAGAGAGACCAGAGAGAGACAGAGAGGAGACTGGAGAGAGAGACCAGAGAGAGACTCCAGAGAGAGACCAGAGAGAGACTCCAGAGAGAGACCAAAGAAAGAGGCCTGAGAGAGACCAGAGAGAGACAGAGAGGAGACTGGAGAGAGAGACCAGAGAGAGACTCCAGAGAGAGACCAGAGAGAGACTCCAGAGAGAGACCAGAGAGAGACTCCAGAGAGAGACCAAAGAGAGACTCCAGAGAGAGACCAGAGAGAGACCAGAGAGAGACTAGAGACAGATCAGAGAGATTAGAGAGAGTCCTAAGAGAAAGTGGTGATGAAGAAAGTCATAGCAACTATTGAATGTGGGAGAAAATGAATTACCTAAACATGGATGGATGAAGTACTGATTTGGTTAAAAGTGCTAAAAGTTCTGTATTGACTTAACTTCAATCTTACATTTTGTTTCCGTTCCTTTCACACATTTCTATAATATCCAATGCATAAGTAGCTGTGTATTTGCCCCTGACTTTAGCCTGAACCCTGACATCCTGTGCCAGAGTTTGGGAGTAAACAATATGGAAGCAGACTTTTTGGGAACAAGATAAAGTTAAATTCACATTCTTCACACTTCTTACTATTTTTGTTGAAGCGCTGACATGAATCACAAAAAAAGCCGCGGCCTCAAACTCAATTTAGCTGGGGTCTGCCCGAGTTCGAGTCTGGGTGAAGCTGGGCCGCATGCCCAGGGCTGCATTTATCATGGGTTTGTGTGTGTGCAAACTACACGGACATATAGGAACAAACCAATTTTTTTGTTTTTTGTTATTTTTTTCTAAGATGCAGGACACTAATAAAAAAAAATCATTGGTTTTGGTCAGATTGCTTAGTATTTTAAGTATAGGCCTTCACCAAATGGTTGAGATGCACTTTAATAGAAAAAGTGCCTCTAACCAAGTGATAGAAATGCCCCAATGAGAAGAGATTTCAGTTCCAAGCTTCAAGTCGTGACTCAACAAGTGATCCACCATTAGACCATGAAAGGGTTAAACCACTAACATTGTACACACAGTTTGACTGTTATATTAAAGAATGAGAAGGTTGGACAACATTCTCACTCATTAACAATAACAGTAGAGTATGTAAACATGTGTACTAGAAACCAGGAAATAAGCCTTTGTGGAAAGTTTTATTTCTCAGCATTTCGATTCAATTCCGTGTATTTTTTATAGCCCTCCAAGCAGTCCTCTTGGAGGACTTTACAAAGTTGTTGATTCACCAATAACAGAGAATAAATCAGTTCAAACTCAAGAAATTACATAATAACAAAGACATAGAGTCGTTGGTCCATAGAGAGCTGGATGACCACTGTCCATAAATGTTACTAAACATGAATAAATGTCCTTAAATGTCCCGGATCATCACAGATCATCTTGCATCAGCCACGAACAACAACAACAACAAAAATTACTCATTAACTCCTTAATGGATCACTTTTTGAGTCACTACATCTACATGAGGCTTGGAACTTTAATGTACCCTGCTTCCTGCTTTTCAAGAGAGCAGTCGTGTGTCTCTCTGCTCTGCTTTTGCTTCGCCTTTTAATCTCCTTGAATCATTGTATTTACATTTTTTGTTTCTCCTTTAATCATTTTATTTACAAAACGAAGATTACTCCTTCTACACACTTCAGCTTTGTGGAATTTATCAACTTTAGTCATGTCGGGACGAAAGAGACAAAGAAGAGTCTGCGGCGGCTGTTGTGCTCTGGAATATAAGCTCAAATCTCTTCAAACACCGATATCTATTGTGGAAACAGAAATGGGACTTAACCCGACTCTTCCTTTGGGAATATTCTTAATTCTGGAATATTCCCAAAGGCCCTGAAAACTGCAGTCATCAGGCCCCTGCTTAAAAAGAGCAGTCTGGATGCTACGGTACTTAACAACTATCGTCCCATCTCAAATCTGCCATTTATTGGGAAAGTCCTTGAAAAAGTTGTCTACCAACAGCTAAATAGATTTCTTATAATCAACAACTCATTTGATATGTTTCAGTCCGGCTTTAGACCCCACCACAGCACTGAGACTGTTCTCGTCAAGGTTACAAACGATATCCGGCTGAACACTGACGCAGGCAAAGTCTCAATCTTAATCTTGTTAGATCTGAGTGCTGCCTTTGACACTGTCGACCATGAGATCCTCTTGCAGAGACTAGAGGACTGGGTTGGCGTCGCTGGCACCGCCCTAAGTTGGTTTAGGTCTTACCTTGAAGACAGGAAGTACTTTGTGGAGATTGGAAACTGTGTCTCAGATCATATGGCCCTGACCTGTGGAGTCCCACAGGGGTCGATCCTGGGACCTCTTCTGTTCAATCTCTACATGCTGCCGTTAGGTCAGTTAATACGCAGAAACAAAGTGTCCTATCATAACTATGCAGACGACACTCAGATCTATGTCTCACTGACTGCAGGAGAACATGGACCAGTGGACTCACTCCTTCACTGTATCCAACAGATCAGTGAGTGGATGCAAAACAACTTCCTTCAGCTAAACGCAGACAAAACTGAAATGATTGTCTTTGGTCTCCAGAGACAAAGAGAGAGCGTCATCTGTCATCTACAGTCTCTCTCCCTAAAACCTTCAAGCAAGGTCAGAAATCTAGGGGTAATACTGGACTCAGACTTAAATTTTAATAGCCACATCAAATCAGTAACATCAGCAGCTTTTTACCATCTAAAAAACATTGCCAGGATCAAAAACATAGTGTCTAAAGCAGACTTGGAGATTCTTATCCATGCATTTGTCTCCAGTAGGTTAGACTACTGCAATGGCCTGCTCACAGGTCTGTCCAAACAGGCTGTAAAACAGCTGCAGTACATTCAAAATGCAGCAGCTCGAGTCCTGACTAGAACCAGGAAGTACGACCATATTAGTCCAGTCCTCAGGTCTCTGCACTGGCTTCCTGTGGCTCAGAGAATAGACTTTAAAACAGCTCTGCTTGTCAGCAGCCTAGCTGACAGCTGATATTTTGGCCTAGCACCAAAATATATTGGTGACATGTTAGTCCCATATGAACCAGCCCAGACTCTGAGGAGCACAGGGACTGGACTCCTGTTAGTGCCCAGAGTCAGGA